TATTACTAACTTTCTTAGCCTTGGTTGGCAGGTGCTTAATAGTTACATTACTCATGACTGCATGAGATAAGTAGGTGACGAGATCCAGTTTCTTTACGAAGAAATATATTTCCCTACACCTTTTTTTCTAGAACTATTAATGTATACGTTTCGTCGCTTGAATGCAGAAGTATTCTAAGTCACAAAATGTAAATTTTACAGGAGTGCTATTTTTCGTGTTTGTGTCTTGCCTAACATTTCTGAGAAATTTTGGATATAGAACGTTTTACCGAAAAAAAAATGACAAGTCCGTGAAAGTGGACTTATATGTGTTACTGACATTGGACTTACAGTAGTTCTGTGAGTGATCATCTGCTGTTATCATAGTTTTGCAGCGAAATGACGTGCCTCAACCCATTACGCCAAAATATCGTTCAAGACCAGTGTTGGGGAAACGCTTGCGCAGGGACTTACAATACCTCTGCATGCAATGTAGGAGACTATGACCTACAATGTCGTGTTAAAATCTAAAAAATGACGAATTTGGACATAAAATAGTTCTGCATTCAGGCGTCGGTTTGTTGTCGAACAAAACGTTTTACGCAAAAATTGGTGATCACATTTTATACGACAATGTTTCAAATACCTCCTTGAATAACTTGCATCTATCAAACTATACAATTATTTCGCCTAATACAGCGTGCGGCAGAGAGGATGGACGGTTTTAAAAAAATCATAAAATAGTTAGTTTTTACTCGAAAACAAATTTATTGATGGAATCAGGTTCACAATTTGAGACAGTCAAGTGTGGAAAATCACATCAGGCATGTGGTGGCCGAAATCGTTGATGCAGTTCTGGAGGCGTTCGCGTATACTCTAGCTTCGAGGTTTCCCCATAAGAAAAAATCGCATATGTATAAATCTGGGGACCGAGGAGGCCAATGGACATCGCCAAACCTGGAAATAAGGCGACCAGGGAAGAGAGGGCCAATAACGTCCATGGATGCTGGAGATCCATATGCAAAATTCGCCTTACCGAACGATCACTAAGGCGAAGTGCAGCAGCATGTTTCCGGGCAGATCGAGTCGGACTGCGAAGAAAGACTTGTCGAACGCGTTTAACATTTTCAGGAGTTCGAACTGTTCGCGGCGCTCCTCTTGGTTTTCTGTTGATCAGTTCACCACGCCTGCGAAGTGATTCAACCCAACGAAGGATGGTGTTTCGAGAGGGAACAGCTCTATTCCGATGAATGTTGAAGTGGCGACGAAACGCACGCTGTACGACGATGACTGACTCATTATTTCGTCCAAGGCTCCATAACGACAACTAGTAAAATAATACTAGGATCTCATGAGTCAAACGGCACCCTCCCCACCTCTCTCGTAGACGGAGGCGGAGAGTACTACCCATCCCAAAAACGTCCGTACTCTCTGCCGCACCCTGTATGATCAGACTATATAATATTCACTTGCCAAGTGCTAGTGGATGCAACGCCTTTTTATTATCCACCCTGTATTCCGATACCATTAGAACTGATGAAAAGCACTATAGCAACCTCCTATCACTATCCATTGATTGAAAACTATTGAAAACTATTCAGCTCATCTCATCTCCCATTCCATCCAAAGAAAACTATAAAACGATCTAGGCATTCATCGGCTGTACATCCGGTTCGGAGATAATTCCTTCCTCTAATTTAGAGAGATGAAAGTTAGCAGAAAGCTGGAATCAGCGTGGAGGAGAGTCGGTTATTTAGCCTGTGCACGAGCCCTGACTCACAATTAGTGGTGGTAGGATTCAGGGCCGGCCCCAGGGCAGAGCAATACCCAGGGGTATGACGTATTTTGGAAAGTGACATTATGTCCGTTCCTTGTGTCATGATGTAGGTTTTCCCATAGGATGTCAACCTGGAACTAGCTGTTGCTTACTATAGTCAACGCCAAACAAAGTGGCGTGCACGTCATCACGATAAAAATTCCCCGACCTAATGCCTAGGTTTCTATCACAAACAATTGCTCTATTGCAGTTTCATATTAATGTGATATATAAATTGTAAAATGGTCATTACTCTCTTATTATGGTTAATAGTCATATAAACATTGTTATTAAAATATCACATAAGTTGCTTTCTGATAAATTTAGACGCATTATGCGAAATAAAATGTTTTGCAAACGCTCCAATCACTTATCGACATGTAAACGCACTAAACCGATTTCGCAGCGTTGACACATTGTCACCTTGAAACTTATTTAAACTGGGAACTGACATTTGTATTAATTTTGACACTGAATCAATTTGTGGCATTTCAAATCTTTATAAATCCTTTGGCCCCGCATACTGTAAATCAACAACTGTTTGTTTCAAAACAAAATTATTCATTTTACGAGTAGATAAAGGCAATTTTGGTATATAAAGATGCCCAAACAGTTAAATAGTCGGTGTAAGGAACTCGTGGCCTCGTTAATGCACTACTTTGAGCAAGAAAGGGACAACAACGGGCCTTTGTTGCCTTTAAATGCTGTTCAAGAGGTAGGTTACTAATAATTATATGTAATGTATATTAATAATAGTGAAATTTTATTTCATTTTTTGTAGCGTGTTGCTGCTGCTTTAAAAATTAGTTTAAGGACAGTTAGTCGTATTTCCGAGGGTGTGAAAAGTGATGCAAATTTAGAATCGCCCAAGAAAAAGCGGAGTTATATTAAACGTGTAACCAACACAGCGACATTGGATACAAGTGCCATTCGAGAAGTGATCTATAATATGTATCACAAAAGTAAGATCTTATTATAATAACTTATCAGAAATTTGCATTAATTTGTTAACTAAATTATAATGTCATATTACACATGGTTTCAGAAGAACAAGTTACGATACAAACTTTATGGTCTCGATTAAGAGATAGGGCATTATTTGATGGTAGTGCCACGTCTTTAAGGCGGTTGCTTAGAGATCTTGGATTTAAGTGGCTTAAGGACAATCCGCGACGAGGGCTCATGGAACTAACAAGTATAGCTTTGAAAAGGGTGGAATTTCTAAGGCAATACAATCAAGCCAAGGTTGAGGCCTTATACCAGTTTGTCTTCCTCGATGAAACTTGGATATTTCAAAATGGGACCATAGGTCGCTCTTGGCAAAATGGAAACCAAAAAAGCGTGAAAGCTATTAAAACAGATGGTAAAAGGTATGTACTTTTACACAATTTGCACTATAAGATTTAAAACTAATATATTTTAGATACATTATATTACATGCTGGAAATGAAGGGTAGTGAAGCGATATTTTCTTCGAAAACAAAATTGAGCGATTACCATGGAGAGATGAACCAGGACAATTTTTTGAAATGGTTTCAACATCAGTTATTAGAAAAATTGGAGAGTCCATCTATGATTATACTGGATAACGCCCCTTCTCACAGCATGATATTGAACAAAGTGCCCAACAATGCATGGACAAAAAAAAATATCCAAGACTGGTTGACAAATCAAAACATACCATTTTTAAACACAATGTTTAAAACAGAGCTATTGAGTATTGTTGCTCGGTACATAATGCTTCTTAATTATATATATTTTGGTCGACAGTTTATATTTCTTTTGTTTATTCCTATTCTTAAAATAACTGCTTTTTTAGAAACAAACCACCTAAAATATACGTGATTGATGAATTAGCGGAACAACATGGGCACAAAGTTCTTCGTCTGCCTTCTTACCATTGTATATTTAACCCTATTGAGTTAATTTGGGGCATAGCAAAAGGTTACTATAACAGACATATTGGTAGAGATGGTAACAGTGAAAAAGACTGTTTGGATTTGTGGAACGAGGCTCTACAAACGGTTACCCCAGACATGTGGAAAAATAGTGTTCGACATACTGAGCAAGAAATTTTTAAATGGTATGAAAGAGAACGAATTTTTGATCGACCAGACATCGAACCTTTAATAATCAACTTTGAGAGTGATGAAGATTCAGATTCAGACAGCGCTGAAGAAAGAAACTCCGACTAACTTTATTGTACAGAAAAAGCTTACACCAGTAGCTTACCTAATTTTAGAATGCATTTTTCTGTATGAATTCTGTAAAATAAATACCATGCATAAAATTTGGAGGACCCCATTTGGATTTTTATTCAGTACCTTTAAGCTATCAATTAAATATGGTAGTTTCATAGTGTCATCTGATCAATAATTGTCATACTTAATGATTATGCAAGTACAGATCTATAATTTTATTATACTATTATTTTTGTTCTCATTTGAGGTTAATATTGCTTATAAACCTAGATATGTAAATAATAAATTTTATTATTTTACAAAAAGTTTGGCAACAATGTAAATTTTTCAACACACCCACCTTGATGACGTGCACGCCACTTTGTTTGGCGTTGACTATATTTCATACATCATAGATCCCTACACTTCCCTTAAAATTAAAAGTAATATACAAATATTTTGAACAGACCTGTCTCTGGATATTATCTTCGTCCTGTTCCGCAGTGGATAGTGGCTGCCGTACTGCCGTGAATGACGAACGGAGAGGTTACAACGTTTATAAGCGCAGGGGAGGCATTAATCGGCTAGAATTTATGTGAAAGTGTACCTGTTTCAAAATATGTTGAACAGCGTGGGTAGCGAATTTTCTCAGGGGAAGGAGGCATTTCCTAAAATCCTTAAAATTGTATACAAAAAATGCAAATTTTATTTGTTTGAGCCTGTTTGACTGACTTGATATATCTAATTTTTTGTTTTACTTGTTCGTAATGAACGTTTTGCTCAGAGTGGTTAACTTACTACTTACTAACCGAACATTACCATTTATGAACTGATGTCAACGTTGTATGTGAATTGCAGAGTCGACCTACATGACGCCATTTATTTATACGCACAAACTAGGATCGTGTTTAGCGTGACCGAAAACTATTCAGCCAGCAGTTTGATAAGTCAAATAAACACGGAAACACAGTACGAGTATATATTTTCTAGTGAAAATTATTCTATCGAAATTAAAAATTCGAAAAATACCTACTGAATCGTTATTCTACACAAATAGTAAATAGGCATGTTAGCACGTAGAATTTATATTAAATCCTGTAGATACAATATCATTAGATGACGTAGGTAATAAGGCATTCAATTTAAACGCTGCATCAGACAAGACAGTTTCAACTTTGGAACAGGATCCCTTTGTTAGGATCTATCACCACCGAGACACTCTTTCCTTTCTCCAAGATAGTGCTGAATATTCCTGGCCCGGAAACTGCTTTACAACTGCGGCCTCGACCGCTTCTTCTGCTGCCAGATCTTCTGCTTCGTGACCTTTTACTCGACCTCTTGCTCCCTGTCCTCTTGCCCCTCGACCTTCCACTCCGTGACCTCTTGCACATTGACCTTCTGCTCCTTGATCTTCTGCTCCCCGACTTCTTGCTTCTCGAGCTCCTCCTCTTTTTTCCTTCCCTTCCTCTCCCTTTCGACCTCTTGCACTCTGACCGCTTTCTCCTTGACCTCCTCCTCTTGCTCGCTAACCTAATGCATGCTGACCTCTTGCTCGTCGACCTCTTTCTCCTCGACCTCGTTCTCTTGCTTCCTGACCTCTTGAGCCTAGACATTCCCCTCTTCCTTGATCTTCGTCTCCGCTTTCTAGATCGTTCTCTGCGTCCTTTAGATTTTGACTTACCCCCAAGGCCATTCTCTGATCTCCTGCAGCTCTTTGAACGTCTTCTTTTATCGTTGGAGATCCCTTTGCACTTTTGTTCATTTTTTTGCTGTCGGCAAGCTTCTTTGTAGAATTTCCGCCTCTGCTCGAGGGTCATTTTACACCAACACTTTGCGCCTTAAAAAAAAAGAATATATGTAAAGATAAAGAACTTGAGAGAAGAAATCGGGGGCAAATGTAAGGCATAAAAATATGAGAACAAGCTCATATAAATAAAATACGGAGTCTTCGAACTTGTTAGTCCTTGACAGTTTACACGGTGTATATATAATAATAATGATTCTCTATATTTATAATGAAAGGGCGAAGGCTCATGCAGCTTCTTTTCTAGTAAAATGATGTGAATACATCCAAATTTGGAATTAAAACTTCAAGCACATACGCTCACGAAAAAAGCTTATCCTAAGAATTGCTAGTGTTACCAGACGATTTTTGGTTGAAATGTCGTTCAAAATTATAGCACAATTACGAGAATTTTCTAATAAGGAACTTTATAACACGACACGCCTATGCGAAATTAATAATAATAATAATAATAATAGACGTCTTTATTTATCCACAATTACATTGTAGTATAGCCAAATGTCAGACTTATATGGAAGTTTAGCATGCTGCTACTCTTACACTTAACCATATAGTCTCTAGCAGATGTTCAAAAGAATACACTATCCACAAACAGATTTGGTTCATTACATCGAAAGTAAAATTTAAAAAAAAAGAGAAAAAGGCATACTTGCCAAACCCAAATGCACCAAAAAATTATTAATCTGAATTAAAGATGGAATAAAAACGAAATGAATGATTACGTAAATTACATGTTTTGAGGGTTGAGTAATAATGTTTTAACTTTTTGTCGGAAGACAGGTAATGAAAATTCTTTATATGCTTTAGGAAGGTCATTATAAATAATAGCAACATTGTAAGAAAAACTGCGTGTAAAAAGTGTAGACGTATGCAGGGGTATTCTAATATTATTTTCTCTGAGAGTTCTACAGTGAACATCATTATTAAATGAAATTTTTTCCTTCAAGTAATAAGGTTTAGACGTGAGCAGCAATTTGTGAACAAAAACTGAATAGTGATACTTGACCATGTCATTAATTTTTAACCAGTTTAGAACGGGATATTTCGCCGATACATGATCAAATTTACGTAAGCCAAAAATGAATCGTATACAATTGTTTTGAATAACTTGAATAATGTTTTTAGTGAAATTGTCTAAACAAGTATAGTATACGATATTACAATAATTTAGTATAGATATGACCAATGCTTCACATAGTTTTTTACGCATCTTAAAATTTAGTAAATACCTGTTTGCTATAAGAGTGCGCAGCCGTAGGTAGGTTTTCTGAGATAGACTTTTAACATGTTCAATAAACCTTAATTTTGTATCAAAAACAACACCAAGAATTTTTGCAGAATCAGAAAATTGCAAGATTTGGTTATTTATCTGAATGTTCAAGAGCTGTGTTACATTGTATGTTTTTCTTTGTGCGCAAAATAATAACATTTTAGATTTTTGTGGATTAATAAGTAGATTGTGATCTAAAGAGTATTTAATTAATTTATTCACATCGTTTTGTAAAATTTGAGTAGTATTATTGACATTATCTGGGTTAAAATAATGAAGCAATTTCGTATCGTCTGCAAATGACTGGACATGAGAATTATCAATACTTTTGCTTAAGTCGAACGTATACATATATGAGGAACAGAAGCGGCCCCAATACAGAGCCCTGAGGTATGCCTGAGGGAATTATTGTCACTTGAGACATTCCTTGATTGAGAAAAACACACTGAGTTCTTTGATGAAGGTAACTGCCGAAAAGTGAAAGGGATACACTGTCAAGACCTATGTAATTTAATTTAGCAAGTAATAATTTATGATTGATGCTGTCAAAGGCTTTCGAATAGTCTATAGAAATTAAGGCTAGTGCCATTTTCTTGTCTAAGGCACTTAAAATATTGTCCTGCAGATTAAGTAGAGCAGATGTTGTACTATATTTTTTTCTAAATCCGGATTGAGTGTCGGGAAGTATAAAGAATTTTTCTAGGTAAGCGGTCAATTGGAACTTTATAATTTTTTCTAAAATTTTGGATAAAATTGGTAATAAACTGATAGGTCTGAGATCATTATACTCAGTGGGTTTCATTTTTTTAGGAATTGGAATAATTAGAGCTTGTTTCCATGTGTTTGGAAAGTAGCCTTTTTCCAAACAGTCGTTAAAGATGTGGACGATGTGATGGAGAATAACTGGCAGGCAAAGCTGGATCATTGACAGGGATATACCATCAATTCCCTTCGCATCAGATTTTAGGCTCCCTATTGCCTGTAATACGTCATTTGAACCAACCTTATTAAAAAATATATTCAGAGCTCAATTTATTTTTGAAATAGTTTTCGCAAACTAGTGTTTTCCCCCTATTACCAGCCTCACTCACATTTTTATCCAAGTCCGCGGTGACGTAAGGTTGGGTATCGTTGAAACTTATTGGCAAAGATCTGAAAATTGAATCAGCTACTTATAGGCTAAATGGATCTACAATGACGATCTTGTTTGTAAAAATATTACACTTCATCCAAAATTTACCTTCTATAGCGACTTTCTTGACGGGCCAGTTGCAATACTTCTTTCTGAAGACCCTCAAGAAGTTGAGGAAAGGGTTGATGGTTATTCTACCTTCCTTGCATCTTTTCCCCTTCGTTTTCTTGCCGCGACGTCGAACATTTTTCCCGTGTTTTGCTGCCCTTTTTCCTTGTCTCTTGCAGCCCCTGGAACGCCTGCGGGCCATTTCAAGCGCGAGATGCCTTACAAATTTTGATGCTACTCAACGAATAACACATTCCCTAATTTCCGAACTTGAAAAAATGAGTATCGAATGACATTTCGCTTGACGCCAGTCAAACTGAAATAAGCAGGCTTTATTCCTTAGAATACAGTGCGTGATTTTAAATGAAACATGAATCTGGGGACATGATGCAATTGACGACATCAGGGCTCTATTCAATACAAAGTATCGTGGAATTGCTACTTGTGACTTACAGTAATACGAGGTATTGTGTTCCAAGTAACTTTCAAACACGATATGCTAGCAGTGCAAGTTACAAGACCATATGCGCAAGCTGGTTGGAGTACCAGTGGTAGTATTTTTATTAATATATCAAATTCGTTTGCTCCAAGAAAATAAAAAAAATAATAATTATTTATTTCATTGTTGAATGGGATAGAGAAAGTCATCAAAACAGTGGTGACGGATTGAAATCTATGAACCATAAATCTAAACAAAAACTTTTCCAAGATGCAGAAATATACTAAGTGACATATAAATCCGAACACCCAGTTTAAACGGTTTTATTTTAATAAAAGTTGGTGAATGTATTTATCTTACTGTAAATAACAAGTGAAAAAATTTTCAGCCTTATCAGTTGGACATTCCGGTTTTTATACTGCTTTTTTTTAATTCACTAACGCTCTAAAAATGAATATTTCAGCCGCAGTAAAGAATCAACGTTGGCGCATTTTGGTTCTTGACATCCTTTACGATCGGTTACGATGCCTAGAGTACGGAGACTTGTACGATTTAGTCAACTTAGTGAGTTTGATAGGGGCCGTATAGTGGGACTTCGGGAAGCTGGACTTTCTTTTCGGGCAATTGCAGTTAGAGTGCAAAGAAGTGTAGACACTGTGGTTAGGTGTTGTCAGGCATGGCTTCGAGAAGGCCGTACGTAAAGAGCAAGGGGCACTGGACGCCGCCGTAGAACAACAGACCGTGAAGATCGCCGCCTAAGATTATTGGCCTTAAGGGACCGTTTCTCCACTACCAGGTCCATTGCAAATGAATGGTTTGCACAACACGGAAGACCTATTGGCATGCGAAGTGTTTACCGACGAATGAGAAGTTTTGGCTTGTTTTCATACCGGCCACACTGGGTCCTCCCTTTAACTCGAGAACACCGACGTAATCGCCTTGAGTGGTGCAGACAACGGTCACTCTGGGATCAGGAATGGAACAGTATTGTCTTTAGTGACGAGTCTCGATTTTGTTTAGGCATGCACGATGGTCGTGCCAGGGTTAGGAGGCGACGTGGTGAAAGGAGGAATCCACAGTTTTTTGTTGAAATACATGTTCATCACACTGTTGGAGTTATGGTTTGGGGTGCTATAGCTTATGGTTTCAGGTCACCTTTAATCTTCATCAGAGGTAACATGAACGCGCAGCGTTATATCCACGAAGTTCTAGAACCCCATCTTTTACCCAATCTTGACACCCTGGCAGATCCAACTTTCCAACAAGATAATGCCCGGCCACCTGTTGCAAGAGTCACAATAGACTTCTTTCAACATAATGATGTCACATTGTTACCATGGCCACCAAGATCTCCCGACTTATCCCCAATTGAGCACGTGTGGGATATGATGGGTAGGAGGTTGCTCAATTTGCAACGTCCTTCTCAGACTCTAGAAGCACTTCGAGAGGAGGTGGTGGTTGCCTGGAGTGAGATACCATAGGAGGACATTGACCACCTGATCAGAAGCATGCCTAGGCGCGTTGGGGAATGCGTAGCACATCAGGGGGCATCCACACATTATTAAAGGTCAAAGGGCTTTAAAGCAGTGCAATAATTTTGAAATTTTTATCATTTACTTATTATGCTTCATTAAGTACTTATACAAAATTTTATTAAAATAAAACCATTTAAACTGGGTGTTCGGATTTATATGTCACTTAGTATATTTGCTTACCAAAAAATGTCAATTGTATGACGTTTGATTCATTTTTGGAATCAAAATTAATAACTCTATTCATCTGTGCAAAAATCCAATATGGCGTCCGTACCTAAATTTGTAGCTGTGCCCCCATTGAAGCGACTTCATATCTCTTACAGTTCCCGAGATCCCATGGTGAGGGTAGAATTTGAAACGCCTTGTACAAATGAGATATTGTAATCAGGCCTCTAAATTGGTCGAATAAGCCTTTGGCTCGAACTCCGTTATTATGGACTCGATACTGGAAGGCGGCTCATGACATATCATGCTCAAATTTGTTTTCTGGTGAGATGGAGTCATGAGGCTTTGTAAAATGTCAAACTTCTAGCTCGAAAAATTGGCTCTGTAGACGCGGTCAAAGCTTCAAGACTATGAAAACTGGTAATTTTACCCTTTATGGCAGCATTGCCAATATCTCGCCGCTCCTGATATAAGGAGAATGAAAAATGAATAAAAGGTCACCTGGAAGACAGATACAGGGTGTAAACGTTATGATAGTCATTACAGACAACGCCGCAATGCCAGACGCAAATTACGATGGAACGCCGTGTAAATAAAGATGGAGTTTTTTATTTTTGGCTCTTAGGTATTATTTTATTATTTGATAATGTAACTCGTAAAATGCAAACATTTAATAAAAACGAACTTACCACTGTCTCAGCGCTACACCTGGTGTGTGAAAATTTATTCGTATTAAAAAAAACCACTTATAAATAGGGAACAATTTTAAAACCCACACAGCACTTTTTTTGTATTTAAAGAGGGTGTTCAAAATGTCGTCCTCTACTTTCCACCCAAGGTTTATTACGACGAACATAGTTTCTTCTTACTTTAGGTCCTCGAAGTTGTCCATTTATTATTTCAGCCGCATTAAAAATGTTTTCGCGAAGTTGTGCTTCAGTTGTTATTAGACCAGCCCCATAAACCATCCCATTAAGTTCTCCCCAATACCAGGAATCCATCGGATTGAGGTCAGGAGATCTTGCTGGCCATTTTCGACGATCAGGAGCATTTCGACCGATCCAGCGATTTGGATAACGTTCATTCAAATACTGTATGACGCCTCTAAAAATGTGTGGTCGTGCCCCGTCATGAAGAAACCACAAATTCTGTCTCCGTTGCATTGGCATGTTGTCTAAGGTCTGTTCCAAACGTTCTGGTAGGTTATTGGCTAGAAAGCTAAAGTATCATTCTCCTGACAACTTTGGGGGTAACTCGAAAGGGCCAATTACCTGATCGTCAAGAATCCCCTCTCAAATATTTATTTTAAAACGTTGTTGGAACTGACCTTAACGAATAGTATGAGGATTTTCTTGGGCCCACGTGTGAGTATTATGGAAATTTAATATCCCGTCTCGCGTAAAAGTACATACGTCCGTCGCTAGAATATTTTTAAGAAAATCCGGATTTTCAATGTTCACTGCCAGAATGTTAGTCTGCGAGGATAGTCTTCAGGTAACAAGGTCTGCACTCGTTGTACATGGTAGCGATAAAGCAAATTATCCGGTAGGATTCTCTGGACTATGGTATGCGATAGTCCTACGCGGCGGCCTAATTCCCGAGTGCTGATATCTGAATTGATTTCCACGATATTTGAAATTTGTTCCTCCTGCTCTACAGTAACCTGTCTTTCACGAATATTGGTGGGCTGAACACTTCGTGTATCTCGAAGTCTTTGGTACACTTGCACAAATGGGTGTACCCGTTGGCGAAATCTGCAACGATAAATTTGAGCTGCAAGATTTGAATTCTGACTAGCTTCACCGTAAACCAACAACATGTTGGCGAACTCTTGATTCGAGAACATTGTAAATAAACACGACGACGTACGCGAACAAAAACAAAACAACACGCCCGATGCCCGATAACTAACCACTGTTACCGTTTGCGATCGATTGCCGGTTCGATAAGAGTGATGAAAGTTCGACGCGCTGTTGTCATGTGTGTTTTAAACATTTAATTTAGCAAGACTTACTTACTGACTACAAATTTTGGCTTAACATAGAAAAACTTAATGCCATTTATTTGCTAATTACCCAATTTAAAAACGTTTTTATTATAGATTATAAAAATTAGTAAGATTGTGGTGATTGTGGTCGATATAAAGCACTTAAAGTTGTAAACTATAAAGCCATTTAGATAAAAATCTATTGACTTTTTGACCATGGGTCATATGAACTTTTTGACTTGTTTTGACTCCCCTTATTACCCATTCCAATAATGACTACCATAACGTTTACACCCTGTATACTATCACTGTTGAGGTACTTGACCATTGTCAATCTACTTGCAACCATTTTTTACGATCTGCCATTAGAACCAGGCCGAGACATTCACAAAACTCTAGTGGCTAGCGTCGCCAACGGCATACAGCAAAGCATGTGGCTCGGAGGAAACTTTGGCCAGTCAAGACTATCAAAAGGCAATATCGCTGGCAGCCGGTGACCCTTAAAGACAACAAAGTCCGTTTCCACAGGGCACAACAATCATTAAAGGGAACGGCAGCTGTTAACAGATCCCAAACTCTGCGTAGAACGGTCTGTCTGCGACCGAAGCGGCACGACAAGCCGCGATGTCGCCGATAAACTTTCTCGTGACGAAGAATCAGGATGGGAAAGGAACAAACATTCAGAGCAGCGGGCCGGATCAGTGACGCACATAACGGGGGGGAAGGGGCGAGGTCTGTTTGGCTCGTCTACTGTGTATCCTGTACCTGTTATGCAGGGTCCACATCAAAGCAAAAACAAGGAACAATTCAAAAACGCAACAAATGAGCAACGTTTTGGAAACAAAACAAGATGAAAACTCATGTCCACAAAGACATGATCGTGGTATTGAAAAAGTATTGTCCGATTTGCGTAAAGATGATATTGGATTGCGAGTACAAATGCGTTCTAGTTTCGAGAACTTTTCAAAAATGTCAAATGAGAACTTTGTACAACTAAGGCAGCTGATCGAAATTTAAAAAAAAATACCAATTTCAGAAATGCCATTAACATATTTGAAGATTTTTGGCAACCGGAGACTCTTATCATAGCTTGAGGTATCAGTCAAAAATATCAAAACAAGCAATATCGATAATAATACCAAAAACTTGTGATGCCCTAACTGAAGGCCTCAAAGAATATATTAAGGTACGTTTTTGATACTAGTTCCTGTTTTATATTTATTT